AGCAGCTTTGTACTTCATTATGTGACCCCCCCCCCCCAGGGTCTGGGGCAACATGCTATTTTACAGACAGAGTGTGTTCCTGCCCTGATCTGTAGGCATATCACATTGAATGGGACAAAGCCTCTCCTACTGGTTCAGAGAAGGTTTGTTTGCAGTCTATGAATTTTCAGAATTTTGACATTTCAGAATCAAGGATAGGGGACTGTGGACTGTGCAGGTTAACCCTTAGGTTAGTCCTGGCATGTGGGTGGTGCCTGACAAATCCAGCTGCTGTTACGACCACAGCCCCCCAGTGTCCAGTTCACAGGCATTGTTTGCTAAATGCTGATCTGCCCGTCCCCAGCGGGGGCCCCTGCGCAGTCCCGCTCCACCCACAGGGACCTCTGCCTACTCCCGTCCTGGCCCTGGTCCTTGCCGCCTGTGTGCCAGCTCCCATAGTGCGGCAGGGGATGGGGGAGGTGAAGCCCTGTGCCCGTCTGCCCCTCCTCCTCCACAGTACTGGTGGACACCCGCACAATGCCCCTCGGTGGCCTCGGTCTCCACTTCAGCTCACAGTTTCACCTACCTGGCCCTGTCACCATCTTGACTTGGGGCCCCTGGTCAAGATGCCAGAGTGGGAGTGCAGTATGGCATCCCAGGACAGGTCCTCCCCAGTGCACCTCGCCCATCCAAGAGTTCCCGAGGTGTATGTTGGAGACTGGAGCTCCTCTGCCCGTTGTGGAGACAGCCTGTCCCACAGCTGGCAGAAAGCCCCAATATCTCATTTTTCCTGTCCACCTGGAAGAGCCTGGGGCTTCAGCATCCCGTTTAGGACTGCAAGGCAGAGCTGTGTCCTGCTCCTGGAGGTGTGGTTGGAGCCACCTGGAAAGTTCCTCCTCAGCCCTGGACCACTGAGAGCCAAGCCACCCAGAAAGGTGTGAAGCTGGCAGCCTACCTGGATGGCAATGGGGACGATCTTGTTGGCCAGGTTCTTGTACAGCAGGCAGATGGGTGCGGCCAGGAACTGGAGAGTGCAGGGGTCTGTTCTGTTGGGATCAATGCCGTCCAGCAGCTTGAAGTCCACGATGAAAATGTTCCCTTGCTGCAGGGGCAGGGAAATGGGTCCAGATCAGTCTCAGCAGAGCCAGCCCCCAGGAAGTGACGGCCTATGGGACCTCTCCCTTGCCCTCAGCTCAGGGGATTTCAGAATTTATACCTCATTTGTCCTCTGACTCAGGCTGATTCACATCAAGTTTTTCCACGGGTTGTGGCAGTTTTTGGGTAAAGTGAAGGAATGCAGCAGCTAATTCAGCAATTATGTACCTTAAACCTGCTTGACCCGCATGAAAGACATTAAAAGACCACGCTGAGAGGCAGTTTAATAAGAAGAAAGCAGAGTTTAGATAAAATAGATGACAGAAATCAAATACCAAAAAGTGATTCTGTAGGATTCCGTTCACATAGAGTTCAAAACTGGACAAACTCGGCCACAGCCAGACCCTGGACAAGGGGGCCCCTTGGGGGAAAGAGACAGAGAGAGGAGGGGGCTGTCTTGGGGTGGGGTGGGGGGTGGGATTCTGCAGGTGCAGGAGAGTCTACAGGGGTGAGGGAGGGTCTGCAGGGGCTGGGGCATCTGCAGGGTGGGGAGTAGGGTGCACAGGAGCGCTGGCACAGCTGCCTGCTTTTGGTGGCTCCACCCCGGGAGGGGCCGGCTGGGTGCAGAAGCCCCTGTGGCCACCTGGGCCTGGGACACCTCGTCAGGGAGGCAGCGACTGCGGTTTGGGGGTGCGGGGTTGCTGGACTTCCGGGGCAGCTGGATGGCTGGACCCTCTGAGTGGGCTCCTTGGTGCCTGTGCCCAGAGGAACAGCCAGTGGTCTCATGCTGAGACCCAGGCTGGTCAAGGATCCCCGACCCACTGGGGGCGCCCGGCCCTGCAGCGGCATCCCGGCGGGAAGCTCTCTCTCAGTCCTGACATTCTGGGATTCTGCGGCAGACAGTGGCTCTTGCCTGTCCAGGTCCCCGTCTTCTTTTGGTCAGCACCGTCATTCTCCTGGCATGGTGGCTGGTTCAGGGAATCATCTCAAGACTCAAGCTGAGGATGGGCCCCAAGACATTTGCTGCGAGTGCTGGGAAATAGGGCCTTTCCTTCTGGGAGTGGGTGGTGGTCGCTGGGTGCTGGAAGGTGAGTCTGAAGCTGGTGTGGTCCTTTTTACCTCACGGTAAGGAGACCCTCCCAAAAAAACAATCCACCCGAGGCAGAGAACTAGACACTGAGAGAGCACCAGTGGCTCTCTGGGCCTCCCAGCGAAGCCTGAGCTAGTTTGCTCTGTGCTCACTGTTGCCTGAGCCAGTACATTTCTTGGATTAAGCCAGATTGAGTTGATTTTTGTGACTTAAAACCCAAGAATCCTAATATAAAGTCTAAAA